CCCAAAACCCCAAAACCCCAAAACCCCAAAACCCCAAAACCCCATGATGCTAGCAATATGAATGTATAGATTATGTTACCAAAAAATAAAATGATAACAATAAATAGGTTTAATTAGCTTTGAGAATCCTCAAAGTCTGACTGATCTGTTTTATGATGGAACGATGAATCCTCTGTTGGGATTGAATCCACCTCTATCACCTCCACGGCCACCTCTGAAACCGCCTCTATCGCCGAAGCCTCCGCGACCTCCTCTGAAGCCACCTCTATCGCCACCGAAGCCGCCGCGACCTCCTCTGAAGCCACCGCCGCCTCTTCCACCTCTATCGCCGCCACGACTAGAGCCAGTTGATAAATCTAATCTCAACTCTCTATCATCACATGGCTTTCCATTCATTTGGAGAGCCTTTTGGGCAGATTCTGGGGACTCAAACTCAACATGGGCAAAGCCTTTAGCTCTTCCATCGTCTCCCATAGCAATTCTTACGGCCTTAATTGGTCCGCAACTTTAGAAATGCTTTTCAAGGCTTTGTTGAGTTGTGTGGAAACTAATGTTACCGACAAATAAGGTAGAGGATTGGCCGTCTCCTCCACTGGGTGCACCAAAACTTCTCTATTGGAAACCACCTTAATTGCCACCTGGACCACCAGGTTTGCCGCCTGAGAAATTAATTCTCAAGGCTCTTCCCTCAAAGTCCTAACCGTTATAAGCATCAAGGGCAGCTTGAGCTTCTTTATGGGTAGCGAACTCAACAAAGGCAAAACCCTTAGGTTAGCCATTGTTTTGGGGCAACTTGACATTGGTAACGGTACCATATTCACCGAAGGCTTGACCCAAGCTATCTTCGGTAGTTTGGAAAGATAAATTACCTACGAAAAGCTCTTTCTTGTCATCGTCTTCTCCTCCTTTGACCTCTTCGAATCCGTTTGTTTCTTCTTCACTCTCGTCTTTCTTGGTGTTCTTCTTTCCGTTTGAGACATTTGATTGCTTTCTCTTTGGCTTTTCTTCTTCACTGTCTGCATCGCTATCTTCCTCACTTGATGAGTCTTTCTTAGCTGCTTTCTTTGCTGGTGCTTTAGCAGCTGGTTTCTTCAAAACCTCGACATCACTGTCACTGTCGCTGTCATCGCTTGAATCTTTCTTTGCAGCTGCTTTCTTGACTGGAGCAGCCTTGGCAACTGGAGCCTTCTTCTTTGGCTCTTCATCTGATGAATCGCTATCATCATCGCTTGACTCTTTCTTTGCAGCGGCTTTCTTGACTGGAACAGCCTTGGCAGCTGGAGCCTTCTTCTTTGGCTCATCATCTGATGATGAATCTGAATCATCACTTGATTCTTGTTTCTTTGCTGGAACCTTCTTTACTGGGACGGCTTTGGCAACTGGAGCTTTCTTTTTAGTGTCTTCCTCTGAGGAATCATCGGATGAGTCATCACTGGAAACTGGAGCTTTCTTGGCAACTGGCTTGGTCTTCTCGTCCTACTTAACAGTCTTGTTAGTCTTGCTGTTAGTGCTAACATTTGATTAAGCTCTTCCTCTCTTGTCACCGACTTGTTTCTTGGCTTGGACCTTCTTCTTGTCATCTTCGCTATCATCTGATGAAGAATCCTATTTTTAATAAGATATGCTTTATATTTACATCTGATGAAGATTCGACCTTCTTCTTGCTGACGGCCTTCTTCTCCTCCTCCTTTTTAGTTGCTTTAACGAACTCTTGCTTGTATGGGGCAGCCTTTTCTTTGACTGATTCTTTTTGTTGTCTTCTGTTTTTCTCCTCATTAGCATCATGCTAAAATTGATATTAGAACTAAAATCTTGAGCTTACTGATTGTCTTCTTGAGGAAGATCTTGACTCGTCTTTAGTTTGCTTAATAGCTTTCTATAGATGATTGTTAAGATATGGAAATGAGGAATACCTTTGCCATCTCTAGTAGTATATATGTTTTCTTTAAAAGATAAATTAGTATTATATAGCAAATTAATTTTCAGCTATTAGTACTATTAAGCGAATTAAGTCATCTATTTTATTAATTCATTAATTTTGACCCTTTAAATACCTGAATTCGATTAGAGGGGTTTTGGGGTTTTGGGGTTTTGGGGTTTTGGGG